CCAAAGCCCCCTGCCCTCTCCAAAAAGCCTCTGACTACAAAACTGAGAAGAAGGTAAGAGTGGAAAGAAATGAGGAAGGGTACAATGGACTATGGTGAAGGACCACAGGTGCCTTGGTGTTGGGTATACTTTGGTAACATATAGCAGAAATGGTGGGATCCTGTAATTTTGAGTCATGTGCAGTGCTGTAAAACTGTGTTGCCTTAATTAAAAAAAGTCATTAAAAAATGCAAGACAGAGCAAAAGGTCATTTATTTTCACTAAATTACCTATGTTTTAAAATAGGTTTTTAGACTGTAATCCATGACATATAAAGGACACTTACAACACAATAATAAAATACCGTCACCAACCTCCTCTCTCCCCCCAAAAAAGAAGAAAATAGGTTTTTAAGAAGTGCTTCTGCACTAGAACTATGGTGGTATGTGCTGTCTGATATGAACATATATCAATGTGCAAAGCTGTACACCTGAAACTTATATAGCATTATAAACCAATGGTAAATCAATACAAATTTTATTAAGAAAAAAAGGGCCTTGACCCAAATTATTTTCGTATTACGGCTCAGTATTTTGTGTTTATTATTCCTTATTTTAACTTTTCTCAATTCCTGATTTCCAGCAGCCCAACTTTTACCTCTTTCTACTGATCACACTAAGCAAGAATCCTACCAATGTCTAATTTACTTTGCTCTTTATAGACAAAATGTAAATAATGCTTCTTTAAAGTCACAATTAGCTGATATCACTAAAGGTAAAAACTAATTCTTTTAGTCCCATTTCATTTTCTCTTCTGTGTATATCCAAATCATGCTCTAGGCAATTTTAAAATATCAACCTAGACTAGACTGAGGTTGAGTGTCCTTACACAAGCTAAGTCCAAAAACTAGTCCTCTATCAGCTGCTGAAGGTCAGCTTAGACTGCCTGGAGGGTAGGAAGCCAGGCATGAGACAATGGCAGGAAAAGAGAGTTCCCTTCATTCCTTAATTCACATGCAAGTGAGGTGCCAATCAAGTGCTGACAAGCATGGAGAGCCAAAATCAAAAGTGGGTAGAGATACACTTTCTAAAGAAGCAGTTTTCACACATTTCTAAGTGATATTTTTGATAGTGCCTATGAATGCACAAATAATAACAAAAGTAAATAAAAGTAATAAGAAAAATACCAACTTTATATCAGCTTGGATTATTTGGTAAAATAAAAAATGTATTTACTAAAAGTGTTTAATGTATTTTACAAAAAATATCAACACTCATTTTGACCAAGGAAAGAAATCTGAATACACATTGACTTACTGAGGATTGCAAATAGGGAAGGTAAGTAGGAGGGCTAAGACTGGAAACTGGGCCTTGTCAAGTAAGGCTAACTTATTTCCAAATAAAAGAAAAGGCTAAGATTACTTTGTTTTGCCATCACCTAGAAAGATTATTTTATTTGACCATCACCTAGAAAGACAAGAGCAAAGCAGTCTGAAATGATCAACTCTGTAAATATGGAATCACTTTATCTAAGTGACTGGTAAAAGAGATGATGAAAAAACCTGAGAACTGATTGTTTTTTAATGATAATTTCCAAAAAATGAGCTAGAATTTTTAGCAACTAATATAAGGTAAAAGCAACGTATATTATTTGTAGATTACATGTATTTTTGAATGAATTTGATAAACATATTCTGATTATAACTACTTACTCTATCATGTATAACAGTTTCTAAGACAAATTTAAAGCTTCATAAATGATGGTTTAGTAGCTGTAACTATATACTAGCATTAGTTTAAACATACAAAATATAACAGCATAGGCACATTACTTTAAAAAATTTATTATTATTTCATAAAGTAAATAGTTTTTCCTTTCTGCCTTTCATTGCTGAGTTGCTACCGTAGCTGTTTTATCAACCTCTATTTTCACTAGGATCAAGGAAGTTTAGAGAGTAGGAAATTTGGGATGTTATGAAAATAAAAGCAGAGGAAGGTAAATTTTTAGCATCACTTTTTCTTCTGATTATAGTAATGGTACATATATACACTGTTTTTGTGAGGTTAGACCCAATCAAGTTCCAAGATTTACTATCATAAAATGACCACTGGTTTTGAAAACTAATCTCTAATTATAATGTATTCTTTAGGAGAAATCTAACAGTTTAAGATAGGGTATAATCATAAATTATGTTCTCAGTTTTCAAAAACAACAATTAGCAAAATATGAAAGCTGTACAACTTTTTGTTTTTATGCTCTACGTTTAAAAGTAATTTATTTTCAAATATCTATTATTGGCAGCAAATTCAACTTTAAAATACAATTATGCACAATTTTAATTTAGTAAATGGCAAGGCAAATTTTAGAATAGGTCCTGAATAGTACCTGTTTTCAGACAATAAACACTGTAAGTAATTGCATTTATTGGTAAAACTGTACTTGCCACATTCAAAAAAGATTTTCTGATAATCCACAACCTAAAAGAATGTCAATCTGTATCAAACTGGTAGAAAAACAAAACTTCCATGAATTCAAACTTCCATGAATTCAAACTAGGGCTGCTCTTATAAGCAGTGTGTGTGTGTGTGTGTGTGTGTGTGTGTGTTTGAATTTTTTAGGAGTAAAACTTTACAACTATTTTTTTAAAAGTTAAAATTAGCAAAATCCAAATGATTTAATGTCTGATGGTATAACATATTAATGAAAAAAACTAAACGATAATATAAGATATTCACAATTCACATTCTTGTAAAGTTACTATTAAAATTTTGAATTCATGTAAAAGAATTTCATATATTGTACTTATGTGAAAAATCCTAAGAAAATGAGTATTGTCAATATTTTAAATGCCACAACTTTGCCCCTAAGAATAGTATGGAGACTAGAAAAGAATATTGTTTAAACTTAGGCAAAAACAAAAGGTTTAAAAATATTTTATTCTTTTTGTTTAACTATGATGTCTTTTAAGAATGCTTTTGAAATTAAGTTAAACAGAACTACCTTAAAATATTAATCAAGCTTTGTAAAAAACTATGCAAAATGTATCATTGTACAGTGTTGTTTGTTTTAGAGGAAATCCATTTTATTGTATCAGGCACTGCTTTTTTTTTTTTTTTTCAGTTGCCACTACCTTTATGATATTATTACATAACCCCATCAAAGTTACTTCAGAAAAACTAGCAAATATATCATCATCAATATTTTAAAGCTTCAACAAGGTATATTACAGTAAATAGACTTCTCAGTGCTGGCATTGCCTGACAGATATGTGATGTGCCAGTGGTTATATTATATTCCTCCTCCCATGCATGCACCTCCTGCAGAGATAGCAGACTACAGAAGCTGACCCTTACTGAGACCATCTTGTCTCTCTGACAAAGCTCCTTTTTAACTTCTTACTTACTGGTTACTTCCTGTGATGGAGAAAAACTTTAGCTCAGCTTGTGATAATTTCACAGGCCCTGAGGACCCTGACCCTAATAGCCTCAAGGTCAGAAGTCAAGTCTTGTTCTGAAACATCTGTGTGCTTTATATTAAAGTGGAACAAAAGTAGAGAAATATCCACCAGTGTGTGACAAGAAGGACAGGCAAAATAGGACTGACACACTGGTCATCTGTTACATTGGCATCTTGAGTTCATTTGAAAAACTGTTCAAAATTCAGTTAAATTCCAAATTTTATGTACAGGCTTTTCTAAACTATCTGAAAGGTAAAAAATGGGAATTTATATTTTACAGAAAATTGAATAGTTTTGCAGGGTTTCCGATATCATTTCAGGTACTCTTGAGTCAAATGAAATTTCATATTTTTAGTAGTTTAATGACTTACAAAGAAAAGGTTTATATATGTGGTATAAATCTGCATATGTGTGAGCATACCGTTATCTATATCAGCAGGGATTAAAAGAATTATTGGAAAAATAACATTTACATTTTAAAAAGTATATCATATTAATGTGTTAAAGAACTATCGTAAGTATAAAACATTGAAATAAATTCATCAGGTTTAAAGGTACTTGAAAATAATTTCCAAAATGTGAAATTTATTTAAGAAATGAACAATTTAACTTATTTATTGATCTTAATAAAATCATAAGCATTTGTAAATTTAGGTAGGCTAAAAAATCACCAGGTGTTATCATGAGTTTTATCTCTAAATGATGTGGGTAAGCAATAAGGTATAGGAGTGAAAAAGCCATGGAAATATATTTAATGTTGATGACAAAAAAATACATAGTGAAGTTTATAAATGTAAAGATTAGATAACTCAATGAGTGTCTGCTTCAAATGTCTACTTATAACTATTTGGATTTAAAACTATAAAATATGTTTTTACCAAATGAATCATTTTCTTATAGCATTGATACTTTGCTTAGACATAAGGGTTATAGACAGAAAGGTACAAATTTTTCTTCAGCACACGATTATTACTGATTATTACTCACAAGCCATTCATACTGGCAAAAAGTGTGGTAACTGTAATGTTGCGTGTTATACAGACAAGTTCTATATATTGATAATTTTTACCATCACATACACATAATCTTATCTCTAAGAATCAATTTATTTTGACATGCAAGTATTTATATGGCCAAGCAATGAGTTCTACTTAGAAGCAGATTTATAAAGGCTTTTTGATAGTTATAATATTAATTACATAGTTTCTGATCAAGTACTAATTTGTAGAGACAAAGTCAGGTTATCAAATTATTCCCAAATATCCAAAGTGTCTCCTGAAATTTTAAGCACTTTACAGATTATATAATCTTCAATCATGTACACATGAAACAGGTAACACAAATGTCATCAATGTATAAAAGTGAGCTATAATGTAGAAAAAAAAAGCAATATATAAAGAAATGGGACAGACAAAATTTTTCTTGTTACCTCTACCACAAAAAAATAAGTATACTTTAAAAAATATAAAATTATTTATTCAAAATAGTACTGATATTAAGAAAAAGCGAGAGGAAGGAGTAAAACTGTAAGGAGTTTGTGAATTAAAAATAAATGTACACTTACCAGCTCAACAAAAGCAAGTCCTCCATAGCTGTGAGCAACAAAAAATACACTTTCAGCTGCTGAATGGGCTATGAAATGGTCCCACACATAGATTGCATGTTCTTCAGGAGATCCATTTTCCTATAAAGAAAACAAGTATTACATATTATGTGCTATATCTAATTATTATCATACTAGTCAAAATTAAATTTTATGCTTGCTTACATAGCATAAGAAATAAGATGGTTATATCACATTCAAGCTAATAATAGAAAAGAAAAACTGCACTGAAAATTCAAATCGGAGAATAAATTAGTATTAAACTTTAGTAAATTAAAGCTAAGCTTAATTGCAACTATAATCTTCTGAAAAAAATTATTCAAAATAAGCACATTTTAGGAGGTATTGAATTATATCAAAATATAATAGACTTGCACAGCAGAAAATTAGTGATCAAATGAAAAGATTCAGTAATATTTCTCATTTAAATTTGAAAATATTTATATTACACATACATATAAATTACTTGACTTATGAAATTTTAAGTATCTGTATGCTGATAACAAGCATAACAAATATTTTCTGTTAGAATTATTAAAAATATACTTTTTCTAAGAAAAATACCGGATGGTATCACTCATAACAGGAATCTAGAAAACCTAAATAAGGGACCAGGAAAAAGAAAACTATAAGAAAGAAAAAAATCAAAATCAACAAACAACTATGAACTAGAGACATACTTGGCGGAGGGGGTAGGGGGGGAAAGGAGGGCTTGGGGTTAAAATCAGGAGGTTGCAATTGTATGGGGAACATAAAAATAAAAAATATATACATATATACTTTTTCTAAAATCATTTTCTAACAGATCTTATTTTTAGAACCAGAAGAAATCTAAACATATAGACCTAGGGTCCTTTTTCATTTCTCCTAGCATGCCAAACCCTAATAAATATATGCACATTGCTTTAATTCCAAAAGTTTTATTTTATTATATTTATTTCTATAGCCGACACATACTGTGTTTAAAGCTAAAATCTGGATGTTAAAAAAAAAAAAAAACAATTCAAGAGCTAAATGATATTGATCAAAAAGTACACTGCTAAAAAACAAAACATCATGAAAGTGTTTTGTACCAACATTTCTTGGAAGGTTTAACAACAAAAAACTAAAATCTTAAGAATGTCAATATATTAGACAATGAACACAATTTATTCATATTTTCCATCTTAGAAATTTTGTAATATCACATTTAAGGTCCATATGCATGGCATCACTTGCTACCTAATAGCCACTGTTCTCTGATATCTCTCTCTGTCCTAAATTTTTCTCCAGAGTTCCAGACCAATATATCTAATTACTTAAGAAGGTCATTTTCTCCTTGAGTTGTCTCAGATATTGTAAACTCACCTGTTTTGGCATTGCCAAAAGTGTCTCCAACAAACTCGTGTCACTGACATTGTTCCCCTTATCTCCAGCTGAGATTTTAGTGCATTTTTTTCTCTCCCTCAAATTCCATATTTAAATAATCACTAAAATCCTGTTGAGTCTGTCCTCAATTGTTTCTTAAATTTATCCACTTCTCTCTGATCTCATCTCCTCTGGCTTAGCTCAAGCCATCTCAACAAATGGATGACCCCAACAGTGGCCAGCACAATTTCCCTGCCTCTATTGCCCATTTTATTGTGCTCTCTAGTTCCATAGTGCGAGCAGCCTTTCAAAAATATGAATATGATAATGTCAACACGTTACTCCCTGCTTAGAAACTCTTCAAAATTTTTTAATTGCCCTCAGAATCAGGTTCAAATTTAAGGCCTTTCATGGTCTGCTTCTACTTCTCTTGAACTCTATCTCATGGTCTGCAAAATACCTTGACACAAAATAAAGCCTTTTCCTGCTGAGAGACCTTAGAAAACACTTGCAGTGATTCAACTGCAGGGGACAACTTGAAGTAACTTTATTGTGCCATACTTTTATCATCACGGGGCTATTTCCTGTGTTTAGAATATGACCTGGTGCTCTTCCCTCACTTCACCAACCACCTTTACCTGCATAATTCCTACTTATCTTCAGTATTCAAATGAGACATCACCTTCTCTAGAAAGGCCCTTCTATCATCCCCAAGGCTAGGTAATGTCCTCCAACAACATCTTGTATATGTTCCCACTATTGTTCTGAATGGTTTATATTATAATTGTTTCTTAGATTATCAAATTTTTGAAGCAAAGAATTTAAAGTAAAAAATAAAATATGAAAGCATTACATTTATTTTCAGGGTGATTACTTACAAACTCATAGCTATTCTAAATTACAAATATACTTTCAAAGCTATTTTTCAGTAATATAAACATCAAATTATCTGCACAAATTATATGAAATAAAAAGGTTAATAACTGGAAGGAAATCTTTATAGGGAATTTTTGGCTTTGATAACTTAGTTTTTGTAAGTTTAAAAAGTAGGAAAATGGTTATCATATACATCAGAATAGTGGTTCTCTCTAATGAAGACAGACAGAGTGGTGATTGGGAAGCAGATTTGTAGTGGCTGACAGCGTTTCATTTCTTGACTAGGGTGGTAGTCACACAAGTGTGTTCTTTATATTTATTCTTTAAACTAATATATATTTAGCTCTTCTCTGTACAATTATATAAAGTAACCATAGGGTTTACTGTGCAATTTATTGTGCACTTTTGAAAGTGAAGAAAGGTATTATTAGTAACTGCACTGGGAGAACAGGTCTAAATTGAGAGACTGTTCAGAGAAAACCCACCTGGTCACCCTAGTTATATCTCAAATGAAACAAATGTGAAAACAAAGCAGGCAGAGGGGTAACAGAGTTTCTATCTTTTACAGTTGACAGAAATAACAATCTTCAATCTGTGGTGGCCCTAAATATTTTTTTTCCTACATGATGAGAATGAAAACATGTAGGACATAGATTACTCTGCCCCCATTAGGCTCTGGGCTGGAAATGGAGGTGTAAGGACAATTTAAAAAACAGAAAATCCCAGATGATTTCCTGGGATCTGCTGATCAACTAAGAGTAATTACATGTGGAAATCATCCTGGCCTTTTAATGTATTTGCAATTTCATAAGGCTGTTAACACATAAAGATAAAAGCTGTACTAGAGCGTGGGGAGTATTATTTTCTCTCTTCTTGATATACTCTCGACATCAAGTGTATTGGTCCATTATAAATCCACATTTATATTTGACCTCAGTGAAAGAAAGCAGTCCCTCCTTGCTTTCTTCTCATAGTCAGCAATTCTTTTAGACTGTTGAGATCCTATCTGTCCCATTCTTTCCATTTCTACCTCACTTTGCATCCACATATAATACAGATTCTAACTAGTCTTTCTGTTTACATTGTTGCCAGACCAGTTTCCTAAAACCCATCTCTGATCAACCCATATTCTGTCAAAACATTCATTATTGAAATGGCTCCCACTGCCAGCAAAATAACAGCAACTCATGAGCGAACATCTTCTCTAAAGCTATCTTTCTAGTTTTCCTTCTCACCATTTCTAGGGACCTATGATCCAGGAAAATCTGGATTATATATCTTAATGGTCTGAAAATCTAGACAAAACTCAATCATGGAATTTAGTCTGGGATCCCATAGGTAATACAGCTCAGATTAGGCAAAGTCCAAAGGTAGAGAGCACTTCAGAAATCCATACGGAACACTACAGATTATACTATTACTCCAGGTGATAGCAGAGTAAATGGTAAGGGAGGGATGGAATGAGTCGTTAAATAAGGAAGAATCAAGGGCCTCCCTGGTGGCACAAGGGGTTGAGATGCAGCCTATGAAGCCGTCCACAGCCTCTGCAGCACAAGTTCTATCCCCTGGCCAGCTGGGGAGCAACCCAAATGGCACAGCAAACCTCTCCTGTCTTGCCCGCTGCTCCCCTCAGCAGTGTGCTTTGGTCAATCTGCCTTTGCTGTTCCCTGCTCTATCTCTGGTGAATCCTCTCACCCCCTATGCCTCTGGCCTGTACCCCAGCTCTTGTATGCAAAAATAAATAAGTCTTTTAAAAAATAAGGAAGAATTAGGAAACCTTTATGACAAAAGTGAAAGAAAGTGGCAAACAGGTCCAAATGACCTGCTCATTTGGTTAACACAATGACTAAAGGACCTCTAAGAATCATCAGCTCTTTCTACTGCTCACATATAAAGACGACTGTTTTCAGAGGTTCTGTGCTCCATAGTTTATGGAGCAGTATCTGTTCATAGTGGTCTCCCAGCAGAAAGAAAAAGAAATCTCAAAATAAGTGTCCTAAGTACTTAAATATTTTCAGCCTGATGCTAAGATTATCAAGTTATTCTTTACTTTTAGATTTAAAACATGTTCTAAAAAGTGAGAACAAATTAAAAAATTACTACCATACCCACTATAGGGTCATTTATAGGTACAACTAAATAAATCATCACACAAGAGTGTACTGGGTAACACTGATATTCACAACCTCACAAAGATAGGGGAAATCAGTTTGCCAGAAGGCAGCACCAAGCATTGCTTTTAGTGGGAGTCTTGCAGCAGTTGACCTAGTGTTTTCAGGAATTACTCTCTGGGGACCCTGGGGGTTAGTTTAGGAATAAGGGAATTAGACTCAACTTGGGCAGATGCAGGAGCTATCCTGACTTAAAAGCTAAATTTTAAAATCCACAAAAGTTGACACCTTTTGAAACAATTCCATAGGAAAGGCCTCCGAAGTCCCTGCATGCAAGGGAAATGCCCAATCAATAGAGTTACAACCCTCCGGTAAGATTAAAGCTATGGTAAAGTACATTATAACTCCTTCTAATCCAGTTGTAGTAGATGTGATAGTGTGTTTCCCAGAACCCACTTTAGTTATATAGCACCCATTTACTGAGTTGTGTATTACCACCTGATCACTTTAGCTGAGGGATTGTTATCAGCCAAAGAAAGTTAACTTGTCTAAAGTTACAACTCCACATCTGAGGTAATGTATATTCAATGCCTGGCTGAGATGATGTGGATCTATAAAGATCTGATATCTTACCTTAAGTAAGGACATCTCTAAAAAGACATCCCAGATCCAGAGATCACCATGGTGTTAGCTGAGGCCTTTGTTGTGACTTTACTTGCAGTTCAATTCCTGTCAAATTCTATTTTT